TGGCTGCATCCCATACACTTACATATGTTGTGTTTTTGCTTTCATTCGTTTTTAGGTATTTCTAATTTCCCCTGTGATTTCTCCTTTGACCCACTGATTATTTAGGAGTGAACTTTTCTATTTCTACATATTTGTGAACTTCCCACTATTTCTGCTGCACTAATTTTTTTTAAGATTTATTTATTTATTATTGGGGGGGAGCGGGGAAGGGAGAGGGATAGAGAGAATCCCAAGCAGACTCCCCCACTGAGCATGGAGCCTGATGCAGGGCTCGATCTCGCAACTCTGAGATCATGACCTGAGCCGAAATCAGGAGTCAGATGCTTAACCGACTGAGCCACCAGGCACCCCTTCTGTTATTAATTTCTGATTTAATTCCACTGTGGTTGGAGAACAAACTTCATGTGATTTCAATCCTCAAATTTATTGAGGCTTGTTTTATGGCCAACATACGGTCTATCCTGGAGAATGTTCCATGTGCACTTGAGAAAGATGTGTATTCTGCTGTTGTTGGATGGAGTCTTCTTTTTTTTTTTTAAATATCTTATTTATTTATTTGACACAGAGAGAGAGAGAGAGAGAGAGAGCACAAGCAGGGGGAGCAGCAGAGGGAGAGGGAGAAGCAGACTCCCCACTGAGCAGGGAGCCTGATGCGGGGCTCGATCCCAGGACCCTGGGATCATGACCTGAGCCAAAGGCAGACCCTTAACCGACTGAGCCACCCAGGTGCCCCTGGAGTCTTCTTTAGATATCTGTTAGGTCTAGTTGGTTTACAGTGTTACTGATCTTCTGCCTAGTGGTTCTACCTGTTATTGAAGGTGGGTATCGAAGTCTCCAACCATTATTTTGAATTGTCTACTTTCCCTTCAATTGTTAGTTTTTGCTCCAAATTTTGTTGTTAGAAGCATATATATTTACAATAATTTTATCTTCTTGATAGACCCTCTTATCATTATAAATGTCCTTCTTGTCTCAAGTAATAGTTTTTGTCTCCTCAATACCTGTTTTGTCTCAAACTTGCATAGCTACCCCAGCTCTCTGTTGGTAACTCTGTGTGGCATCTATTTCCACCCTTTTACTTTAAACATTTTTGTGCCTTTGAACCTAAAGTAAATTTCTTATAAACAGCATATAGTTCGATCATGTGTTTAAATCTATTCTTTGCTCCCTGCCTTTGATTGGGCTGTTTGGACCATTTACGTTCCATGTAACTACTGAGAAGGTAAGATTTATGTCTGCCATTTTGCTATTTTTTTTCATGTCTTATGCGTTTCTTTTTTTGTTTTCTATTTCTTGATTCCTGCCTTCTTTTGTTAAGATAGATATTTTCTAGTGTATTTTTTTTTTAAAGATTTTATTTATTTACTTGAGAGAGTACAGAGGGAGAAGCAGACTCCCTGCTGAGCAGGGAGCCCGATGCGGGACTCAATCCAAGGACCCCGAGATCATGGCCTGAGCCGAAGGCAGCTGTTTAACACACTGAGCCACCCCGGCGCCCCTAGTGTATCTTTTTAATTCCCTGTTTCATTTACAGTGTTTTTCGGAATTATCTTCTTAGGGGTTGCCCTGGGCATTACAATTAGCAGCATCTTCACTTAACACAATATAGTTTTGATTTGGGGTGCCTGGCTGGTTCATTCAGAAGATGAAGAGTGTGTGACTCTTGATCTCAGGGTCATGGGTTCGAGCCGCACATTGGGTGTAGTGGTTACTAAAATAAATAAATAAATAAACAAACAAACAAACTACAAAAATAAACAATATAGTTTGGATAAATACTAAGTTAATTTTAATAGTGCATAAAAACTCTGCTTCAGTCTAGCCCCATTCCCTCCCCACACCTTTGTACGATTACTGTCTTACAGATCTCATCCGTACAGGTTATAAGCCTGCCAACACAGTTTTGTGATTATCGTTTTATGCAGTTGCCTTTTATTTATTTTAATAATGGGCTTGAAATTTCATTTTATTTTAAAGTACGCTCCATGCCCAAAGTGAGGCTTGAACTTATGACCCCGAGATCAAGAGTCGGATGCTTTACCCACTAAGCCGGCCAGGAACCCCTAGGAAGCTGCCTTTTAAAGACAAAAAATGAGTTAAAGACAAAAGAAGAAAAGCATTACAAATAGAAGTGTTTATACTGTCTTTCATTATATCTATGTGGTTACCCTTGCTGACGCTCTTCATTTCGTTGTGTTTTCAAGTTACCATTGAGCGTACTTTCATTTTGGCTCGTAGGGCTCCCTAGAGTATTTCTCCTAGGGCAAGCCTGCTAATGACAAATTGTTTTTCCTTCCTGGAGATGTCTTCATTTCTCGTTGTTTCTGGAGAGCACAGGGGTTTGATTATTTCTCATCCAAAGCCTACTACAGCCTGGAGAAGGTGTCCCAATGGGCAGGTAACCTTAGGCTTATGTCCTTTCTCTGGGCTTACATTTATCCCGGCTCCACCAGCTTATTAGCTGTGTGACCTTGGACAGGTCATGTCATTTCTCTGTGCCTTAGTTTCCTCCTGTATAAAATGGAGATAACAATGATGCGGAGCTCAAAAGTGTTGCAGGACTGAGTTGGGCCTTGGGGCCGGTGTGAGCCCACACTAGCAGTGAGCTCATTTGCCAAACAAAAACAACCTGGGGGTAGGGGAGGGTAGAGAAAGGAAGGAGGATTCAGTGAGTGAGCTCTACCCAGCTCCAGGGCTCTCCCCTAGTTTCTCTTAGAGGAATGTCACCTGCTTTTCCTACAGGATGCTCATCAGAGGCAGCCTGGAAGCTCGCAGAGGCACCTCTAGAGCCATGACATTGAAGAAAGCCCATCCTGGGGCGCCTGGGTGGCTCAGTCGGTTG